GCCAAGAGTCCATCGATGTTTGTGGTCCTGGGAGAGCGGGATGGTTGGCTGGGCTCTTCCTGTGGTGTGTAGTGAAGTGGGAACTCTTTTGGGGAATATTTGATTTGGCATGGACTCTATTAAGGGACTGCATAATTTAGGTCAGGAAATCATCTATGTATTTCACAGGTTGACCTGGTGTTCTTTATTCTGTGTTTCATTGTGCTTTCTTGTCTCCTCAGTTGCCATATAACATTGCATTGTCCATTTGTGTGTCTCTCTCTGCACATCTGTCAGGTTCACCAGCACAAGGACTGTATCCTTGAATTTTTTCATTCTCAGTGATTAGACAGTGTGTAGGGTTTAGTAAGTACTCAGAGAATACTTGTTGAATGAATAAATGATTGCATATCTTGGCCTGTCATTTGAAACACTTCTCTCCAGCCTACTGAGGAATCTTACTTCTTGTCCCTTCACTTCTCTTCCAAAGTCTGACATCTCTCTCTCTCTCTCTCTCTCTCTCTCTCTCTCTCTCTCTCTCTCTCTCTCTCTCTCTCTCTCTCTCTCTCTTTCCACTCCTGGCTTCCTTTTGTCTACTTTTATTTACTTTCTCTCCTCCATTTCCTTAGCACATTGTATCCCTATGATAGCACTTCTCCACATGATATCATGTAGTTCTTTTATGGAGTCATAGAAATTCAGTTGTACAGTGGCCTAGTCCAACTAGATTAAACATCAACCTGGCATATCCCTATCTAGAAAGAATAGTCTTCTAGTTTCTGTTCAATATCTTCTGGGGACTAGTTACTTACTACCTTTTGAGGTGAGCCCTTTTATTTTAGAAAAGGTGTGATTGTTAGAAAAATGTTAAAAATTTGCTTAATTGTAATTATTTTCCTTGGGTTCATATTCTGCTCTCTGGCAACCACACACACACACACACACACACACACACACACACACACGAATCTCTTATTTGCTGCACCTTTAAATTTGTCCCCTTGATTGTTTCTTCTTTCTGATAAAAACGCTGATCTTCTGAAACTGCCTTCATGGGGCTGAGGGTCAACAGTCCTCACCTTCCAGTTGCTGCAGTTTCTCAGTGGCTCTCTAAACTGGGGCTTTACAAACTGAATATGGGGCTACAAATATGACCTGACCACTTTAAAATAGAACAGAGTTCTATACTTCTCTCATTTTAAAATTATATTGTTAATAAGGTCTGGGTTTATTAGCTTTTTGATAGTTGTATTTTACTTTTGTCTCATATTGAGCTTTTGGCCAATTAAATGTATATATCTTTTTCCCCTCCACAAATAAGTCATCCTGAATGTGAACTTTATATTTGTCTTTATCAAATTTCATATGAAGTCCAACCCACTGCTATAGCCCATCAAGATATTTTGTTTCACATTCAGTTTTCTACTATAATTCCCCATTACACATATCATTCGAATATTTGATCACACTTTTACAAGTCAAACCAGTAACAAAAATGCCAATCAGAGCAAAGCTGCAAACACCCATTTATTAGAAAGGTCTGTCCAGTGGAAACCAAAGCCAAGTACTTAAGGGGTATTGTGGAGAAAACCCAAACTTATATCCAATTCTTCACAGAGATGGCATGAGGTACCTCATATATTACTGAAGTTCAGACAGTTGTGTATATGCATCTCTACTTTTCCAGAGGGTAGAACCATGTCTGTCTGGCTAACAGCTGTCTTCCATCATCTAGCTCCGTGCCTGGCACATAGAAGGCCTTTAATGCATATGTTTTGTTGAAAGAGTAAATGGAACAACCAAGGAACAAATGTTCTAGCTTAAGATTTTGTTTGTTTTTTGTTTCCTTTTGTAGCTTAAGTTTTTAAAATGAATCTTTTGTACCTATCTGTCTCTATTTTAAAGAATTACCACCTTTTTCATTTTCTTGGTTTCCTTAGTCTTTGTTTTCCACCTTCTCTTCTGAAGAGAATTAAGCCTGGATTCATTAGTGTTGAGGTTGGGGAAGTGGCAAAGAACAAAGACAAGACTTGAAGAATTAGGTATTGTGTAAGAAAGAAATTGTTTCTCTATTAATTCAACTCTTATATTAGACTAGAGGCCTGGTGCACAAAATTTGTGAATGGTTAGGGTCGCTAGGCCTGGCCAGCAATAGGGCTGATCTGGGCCCCTGCTGGCTCCTGCCTTGGTTGGCCTGGTGTCACCTGCTCACCAGCCCCACACCCTGCTGCCGCCACCAGTCGCCTCCCTCTGTGGGGTGACTGGTGGGCAATCCGGGGGCCCCCACTGGCACACACCTTGGCTGGCCTGGGGCCTGCAAGCTTGGGGCAACTCCTGCATAGAGCATCTGCCCACTGGTGGTCAGTGCACATCGTAGAGACTGGTTGTTCTGCTGGTCATTCTGTCATTCAGTTGATTTGCATATTAGGCTTTTATTATATAGGAGAGGTTAAACCTAAGACATACTTCTTTTATGAAGCCATCCCTGAGTAATCTCCACCACAGTGATTTCCCTTTTTTTATTTAACTGTAGAATCCACCCCCAAGCATTATCGCAATATAATTGTATATATTTAAGATGTATAACTTGTTTTACACATTGTGAAATGAATACCATAATCAAGCTAGCATATTATCACCTCACATGGTTAACATTTTCTTTTGTGTGTGTGTGGTGAGAATATTAAAGATCTACTCTCAGTAAACATTATTATTAACTATAGTTACCATGCTGTATATTAGTTCTCCAGAACTTATTCATCTTGTATAACCAAAATTTTGTACCTTTTGATCAGCATCTCCCCATTTCTCTCACTTTCCAGTCCCTGCCCATTCTACTCTCTGCTTCTATGAGCAACTAAGGAATTTTCAGTTGTACAATTCAATATCAAAATATTTTTTATTACATGCTGATCTTATTTTATCATTTAGTTTTATAACCAAAATATCATAAAAGCTTTAACAACAATTCTACCTAATAAAAGAGTTATATGCAAATTAACCATCACTCTGCTACACCCACAAGCCATGTCCACCAGCCACGCCCACCAGTCCATCAGAGCGAGTATGCAAATAAATCCAACTAACAGAGAGCAGGAGGGATGCTTGGGTTTCCCAGGCAACAGAGAAAGCCAAGCTTTCTGCCTGCCCTTGCCAGCCTGGGCCTTCACTCAAGGCTACAAAGTTTCAACTATAGAAGATAAACAAATCCAAACAGAAATGGCTGCCAGCCACGGAGTGAGCAGGAGACTTGGCTCTGCTCCAGGCTACTAAGTTTCAATTGTGGAAGGTAAATAAATTTCAGATACCAGGGCCTCCACTTGAGACTCCAGGGCGTGTAGCTGGCCTGCAAACCCCCACAGGCGCCCTCGTTCAGGCTGCCCCATGCCCCAAGGGAACCCCCACCCTAATCTGGGACACCTTCAGGGCAAACCAGCTGGCCCCCATCCGTGTACCAGGCCTCTATCCTATCTAATAAAAGAGTAATATGCATATTGACCATCATTCCAACACACAATAGCTTCCCCCATGTGGTCAAAGATGGCTGCCCCCATGTGGACACAAGATGGCCACCACAAGATGGCCAGCAGGAGAGGGCAGTTGGGAGGCACCAGGCCTGCAAGGGAGGGAAGATGAGAGTGAGCAGTTGGAGGTGATCAACCCAGCAGGGAGGGAAGTTAGGGGTGACCAGGCCAGCAGAGGAGGGAAGTTGGGGGCAAACAAGCTGGCAGGGGGGCAGTTAAACATCAATCAGACTAGCATGGGAATGGTTAAGGGTGATCATGCTGACAGAGTGGTTAGGGGCAATCAGGAAGGCAGGCAGGAAAGCATTTGGGAGCCAGAAGTCCTGGATTGTGAGAGGGATGTCTCACTGCTGGTTTATGGGCAGTCGGACATCCCTCGAGGGGTCCCAGATTGGAGAGGGTGCAGGCTGGGCTGAGGGACAATCCCCCCCCCCCCCCCCCCGTGCACATATTTCATGCACCGGGCCTCTAGTAATAACAATAATATGTTGAGCCCCATGTATTAATAATTGTAGACAAGGTGTTAAGTGCTTTGCATGCATTATCTTATTTCCAATCTCCCAACACTTATTGATGTATGTTTTTCTATATTTCCCATTTCACAAATAAGAAATTGGAGGCTTAGTGAGAAATGTATATCTTGGTCCATAAATAGTTTGTAAATTCTTTGGGACTATGAAGTTCTTTTTAAATTACATCTTTTTAGTAGTTTAGTTTGGAGCAACCAAAAACGGAGCTCCTTTTTGGCTCCTTTTTTTACAGGTTGTGTGAGTCTCTGAGTCCTAGATTTTTTTTTAATCTGTAAAAATGCAAATAATAATGCATATTTTACAAGATTTGTTGCAAAAATTACATGACATATAATATACAATGTATTTAACATGGGCTGACATGTGAAGAAAGTGCTTGGTAATTGTCAGTTAATGTTGCTTATTAACTTTATGTAATGTTGTTGATGCTATAGTACCATGAGATATGGCCCTCCGCAAAGTAACATAAACATAATAATAAAATAATACAAGACTATATTGTTGGGTGGTGTTAAATATTTTTTTAAAAATCTGAATAAAGGCAGGTCATAAAGGATATGCATTACTGAAATAACTGAAGCTGCATTATACAGCCAATGTGAATAGTTGGGTTCTTATATCCCATCAACATATTTCTTTTGTCCTAGTTGAACAAATTGAGTTGCCTTAAAATATATTGTTTTTAAAAACTATATTAACATTTGTTTCACATAACATTGCAGAAATGGACAGTGGTGATTTAAACTTCAGTGAAATCAGAAAGATGCTGTCATCCTGATGTAAGGAATGTTAGCTTACATCTTGAGTCATTTTCAAATAGTATACCTTATTAGTACATTGCACCTAAAATCAGTGAATATTCAAAAGTAACTTAGAATAACTAGAAATATTGCATTTCCATCACGTTTTTCTTTTTCATTATTTTACTAACACAACCGTAACAATTGCCTTTTTTTTTTACTTACAGGAGACAGAGAAGACAATGATGACAAGAAAGTGGTTGCAGAGATCATGGCAAGGTGTTTTTTTCCAGCTCTAGTAACAACCATCCCCTGGGAAGGATTTCATTTTGTTGGCCATGAGATTCGAATTACTGAAGCCATGGATTGTTATGGTGCTGTTGTTTGGCCATCGGTATAATTTCATACAAAATTTGTTACATTTCAATTATTTTCAGTCAGTTTTGTTCATTACTGTGTACTATTTGTAAAAAGAAAATAGGTTCCATAGTTCTATTTTTTTTTTTTTTTTACCTCAAACAACAGTAAAATTTAGAAATCATGAAATTGGGAAGATGCTTCCACCAATTAATTCTACTTCTGACATGTAAGATTAATAAAATGTTGCTTGCACCTTGAGAGTTTGGTGACCCTAAGGCTTTAGAATTGTGAACATTATATTTCTCATTTAACTGGCACATTTGAGTTAATCAATTATAATGAAATGTTTTTCAATGTCAAATGGAGAAGAGTCTAAAATATTCTCCTTTACTAATTGTCCCATGAAAGGTTCAGACTCCTCATTGCTATCTGCTCCAATCTCACACAATGCTTTGAAATGATTATTATTAGGACCTAGAGGCTCAGTGCACAAATTTGTGCACATTGAAAGGAAATTAATTAGAAGGTGGCCAGTGGACTGGGACTGGGCAAGATAGGTTGGACATGCCCTGGAGCCAACCTTCCATAGTCCCTCCTTGGCAGGCTGCACCTGGGGCAGCACCAGAGCTTGAAGGGCATCTACAGAGTGAGCAAGGTCCCTCTGGCAGGTGGGGATCCCTTAGCTAGGCATGAGGGGATCAGGCAGAAACCAGCAGTCCGACATCCCCTGAGGGGTCCTGGAGTGCAAGAGGGGACTCTACAAAGTTGCTGTTGCTCAGCAGCTCCTGTGTTGAGCATCTGCCCCCTGGTAGTCAGTGCGTATCATAGTTACCAGCCAGTCATCTGGTTGGCCCATCACTTAGCCTTTTATAGATATAGATTACTTTCTTTAAAGATAATCAACCTAAGCAACTGAATTCCATACTGTCTCTTTTCTCTTCAACAATCCCCAAAAATTCTTTCTAGCCTAAATGTTGAGTCCTTGGAGGATGTACTTCTGTTGATAATTTTATGTAGTTCTGTGTATACACACAAACATACACACACAAATATCAAAGTATTAGTGAGCTATTTATTTAATAGGGTTTAATTATACATCTGTTCTTACTGGTCAAGTACTATTTCTTTTTCTTTTTAACTTTCATAGGCCCTTGTTCTATGCTATTTTCTGGAGACAAATGTAAAGCAGTATAATATGGTTGACAAAAATGTGATTGAAATTGGAGCAGGAACAGGGCTTATCTCCATTGTGGCAAGTTTACTAGGTAAGTAGGTATTTATTATTATGTATTTATTTGCTGCAAAAAGCTTTATTGTTTCATTTGGCCTGATGCATGGGAGAGGGCTTCAGGGTGGTCAAAGGAATGGATAGTAATTTCAGGGAGAGGCTCAGGTAAGAGTCAGACACCAGGGAAATGCAGAGATGCCCCTCAAAGGCCTCTGGGTCCAAAGGCTCCCATTCCTGTTTGAGGGTGATCCTTTCGAAGAGATACTCGCCCAGCCCAGCCTGGGGGCAGGCTAGCCTGTAGATGTTAGTCAGGTGTCGCCCATCTTCTTGATGAATTTCACCTCCTTATCCAGGAAGAGGTTCTCCAGGAAGTCACAGAGCTGAGGGTCTGCACAGGTAGAAGCCAAGGCACACAGTTCCAAAAGGGCCTGGTTCAGGTCCCTCTCCACGGCCAGGGCGGCCTCCATGGCGTCCTGAGTTTTGCCCACTCATCTTGGGAGGCTTCAGCACTTCCTGGAAGAGAATGCGGCTGCCACGCTTGTTGTGCAACTTTTAGAGATGCTCAGCACCCCTGCGCTTCTTCTCTGCCAACTCGAGCCCTCTGCCTCAAGAGCCACATCTTCCAGGTGGAAATAGAAGCCCAGGGAGAGGTAGGTGTAGGAGGCCCGGAGATGCAGGTTGGCCAGGCGGTTGACTTGCAGCCTCCACCTCGGTGGAATAAGTCTGACAAATTTGTGAGCTCACAGTTGTTCAGCAATAAAGAGTTAAGGTAGGATAAAAAAACAAACAAAACTGGTGTGTTGGCTGGTCCTGGAGGTGGTTCTGAGGGTGGTGACTGGATAAGATGCAGGAGAGTGGTCAGAGGGTGGAGTGGTCAGAGGCTGGAGAATCCCTGGTTTTGTTCCGTCCAAACATTGTTGAAGCAAGAGGCAGATATGGGACCGCTGAGGGCACTGCCTAGGTGTTTTTGATGGTGTTTGAAGAACTTAATGATCAAATATCATTATCTGCTTTAACTATCCAATGTACTATGATCTTGGTCTATTTTTAATTCCTTAATTGTTTGAATGAGCTTCATCAAGAAGCTATAAATTTTAAAGTCACCTTACTGATTTCTTTTAGATTTTTCTGTGAAGTTGTATTAATTCTTCTCAGGGAGTGCTAAGTCACAAATGTATTCTAATTTTGAGGTGCACTTAAGCATCCTGGCTGGCTGCTAGAGGAGATGCGTGAAATACTAAGTATAGGCAAAATCTACTGCTGCTGACTCTCATATTCTTTATCTAAATTTTAGCCCATTTTAACATTTCCATATAGCCATATATTTCTTTTGGGTTTTGAAGTCCTATGCTTTTATGAAAAAGCCCCTCTTAGAATAGAGAAGCAATATTAGAAATTATGTGTGCTTTTAATTTTATGCATTTGCCTGTGGCTTTTTTTTTCGCAGTTCAGTTTCATTCTTCTTTTGCAACCTCTTGTTTTTCTCACCAGAATCTTATTTTCCAGCTAAATGTGTGAGGGTCTCTGCATGCCTCAGCTTGCTCTAGTTAAATCTTTTTGTTGTTGTTGTTATAGATTATCTTGATTTAGCTGCCTTTTCTGGTGTGTGCTACCCAAATCTTGATTTCCTTCATCTTTAGAAGTGTACACCTACCACTCTAAAATCTTGAGAAGAATTCGAGATTTAGCAATTTATAATGTTCTAAAATTTGGGAAAATATAGGACCCTTGAAGTCCTCCTCAAATATATATATATAGTTTATCCTGATTCTGCTTTTCAAAGTCATCATTCCATTTTGTGTGAATAGAGTCTAAAGCACTATTAAAGGCTTCCCTATCTAGGAGCAGAATTTGTGTTAGGGAAGTAATTTGTTTCATTAAAAAGAATTATCCTTTCAGTATGCTTGTCTATCTGGACAAAAATATCAAAAGATTGAAGCTTTGCCCTAACGAGTTTGGCTCAGTGGATAGAGCGTCGGCCTGCGGACTGAAGGGTCCCAAGTTTGATTTCGGTCAAGGGCGTGTACCTTGGTTGCGGGCACATCCCTTGTAGGGGGTATGCAGGAGGCAGCTGATGGATGATTCTCTCTCATCGATGTTTCTAACTCTCTTTCCCTCTCTCTTCCTCTCTGTAAAAAAAAAATAAAAAAAAAATCAATAAAAAACCTTCAATCAATTAAAAAAAAGATCGAAGCTTTCTTTAGTCAGTAATACAAAAAATGGTGGTGTTCACTTTTCTAGACATAATGATATTAATAGTCAGATATATATTTACACTCACTATAAGTAAGGGTGTATTCCTTTTCTTGGGATTTAAAAAACATTTGTAGAAAATGATAGAGCCACCCACATTAGAGTTGAAGATTCATAGTTCTGCAATTCTACCTATGGTGTGCATATTTCCCTCCCATTTTAATGTTTCCCACAAAATACAATTAGTGGCCAGAGGAACTTTCCACTGGGACTAAGAAATGGGTTCTAAAGTGGTCTGAACAAGACTTCTCTTCCAGTTCTGCTTTCCCATTGCTTCCTGAGTCTGTTCTTATCGGAGAATGTGGAATTGACCAATCTGGATTTATTTACACATTATTTTAAGGGCCAATTTTATTTGGTTATTGGACCTTCCATTTCTCTCCTGCAAATGTCCACCACTATTCACTTTTAACTAGGAAATGGTTTATGTTTTCTTCATCTGAGCATTCTGTTCTGCATCTGGATTTTTGGCTGTATGAACACTATATGCAGCTTGACTTAAAATTAGGTCAAACTGAAAACTTGGGCATAAACATCAATGCCATTGAAAAGTCTTTCCTCCCCCCATTTCTCATATTTTAGTATTTTTCTATTCAATGATAGGATGCCCAATTTTGTATACACTTGTTCAGTATCACAGCACTGGGGCTCCAATTCTTTTAGGGAAGAAACTGGCCATCTTTTAACAATGACTTTTGATAGTTCTAGTGAGGATATCAAATATTTTAAATTTACTTTTCTCTTGATTATTTTTCCCTAGCATTTAGTAGATAAATAGAAAGTAACAGCAGCAGCAACAAAACAAAGAAAAAATTGGAACAGAAAAACAGTGCAAAAGTACATGGGAATCGAATATTTTTAAGGGGAGGCATAAAACTGCCTTAGCATCCTTTTTGAAAGGGATTTCTCTGCTGTGTGTACCGACCAGTTTTTTCCTTGGGACTAGCAGTTGTGCAGAATTGCAATATGCATGTTGGCTTGAAACTGGATTGTTTACTTTATCCCATGAGGGTTACTTTTCTACTGCCCTTTGCTTCACAGGTGCACATGTGACTGCCACAGATTTACCTGAATTACTTGGAAACCTGCAATATAATATATCCCGAAACACCAAAATGAAATGTAAGCATTTGCCTCAGGTTAAAGAACTCTCCTGGGGCATAGCTTTAGACAAGAACTTCCCCAGGTCTTCCAACAATTTCGATTATATCTTGGCGGCTGATGTTGTCTACGCTCATCCTTTCCTGGAAGAACTCCTCATTACCTTTGACCATCTGTGCAAAGAAGCTACCATCATCCTCTGGGTCATGAAATTTAGGTTAGAGAAAGAAAATAAATTTATAGATAGATTTAAGGAATTGTTTGACGTGGAGGAGATTTCTAGTTTCCCTAGCTTGAATATTAAGCTGTATAAAGCTATGAAGAAAAATCGAAGGAGTGCATGATATCCTCAAAGGAGGACTTGGAAGGCAAAGGCAATTTCTAGTATATTATGACTTTAAAGAAGACCCTGGATAAGATGATGCAGCATTGACTTTCTCAAGGGGGAACACACACACACACACACACACACACACACACACTATATCCAAGATAGCAATTTTCTAATTCATAGCACATGGGTCTGGAGGATGGCAGAGCCATACTATGTGGTTAGGACATTGGTTAGGACACTGTCTGCTTTTTTAAATTCCTACTTCCATAGCACCTTTTGTTATTATGATCTTTGTAATAAATAGTGCAATTATTATTATTCTTAATGGATAACTGTAGATGGAGGTTTTCAATAATGATATCTCAAAAATAAACTTATGTTATTCTCTCTTTAGAAGTAAAGAAGTGGACTATAGTGGGATATGCAAATAAATCTGAAAGAGCAGATACATAATATAATGGTAAATGTTAGATTATTGTGGTTTTTGTAAGAGCCAGTCTATAGGCAGTCTGTCACCTCTGGTTGGCAGGGAGGGCCTTCAGCACAACCTCTGAAATCAATCAAGCTTGTGGATTTGAGGTTATAGGCAAGGACATTTCACTCTGGTAAATGAAAAATGAATGGAAGTGAACATAAAACAGTTGGGATTTTGGAGGAGTTATTGTTTTATTTTTAAGCCAAGTACAGTTATTTTTCTTTTATCACAAAAACAGAAATAAATATAAAAACTTTGGATTGAAAGTACACATAAAAAGATATAGGCTCTAATCTCAAATAACCAGACAAATGGCTGTTTAAAGTCTAAAACTCTTCTGATGAACATATAGATCTAGATATTTGAAATCCTATGTGATTTTTCCCCCACATGGGCCTTAAGAGATTAGAAGTCTGAAGTAATTAAAGTCAGTGAAAGGAGAACAAAAAATTAGAATTTTGTTCCATGTAATAAGAGTGCATTGGTTAGTAGTTTGCTAGGCTACCACAGTGCCCTTGGAAGATACTTGCTCTCCTAAACCCAGCCCTTTCTGCTTTGCTGGAAGTTCTCAGTCCACTCAGGGAGAGTAGAGCTAACAGGATTATTTCCTAGGACCCTGATCTGTAAACCAGATGCAAGTTTGTTGCCAGTGGATTTTTTTGTTATGTGTGGTTCATAGGACCATTTCTCAGTAACTCCCAATATTTACATAGTTTTTGCAGCCTGTTGCATGTATAATAATCCTTTAATCCTCACAACCATTCTAAGAAGTGTAAGTAATATCATTATCCCTACTTCACGGATAAACTGAGGCTGAGAGCTGTGAAGACGCTTGCCCCAGGCTAGGCAGCTGCAGAGCGGCAGTGATAGGGTTCTCATGCCCTGGCTTGTTTGAGCACAGAGCCTGTGCTCTTCTTACTTACTGCCTTTGTGTATTAAAAACAGTAATTTATGTTCTTTTTTTTAAAAATGAGTAATTTCTTCAAATGAAATAAATGCCCAGAAAGGTAAGCAAATACATTAAGAGAGGATGAGAAGTGTTCCTTCTTAAATCTTTATCTCTTTTCTTGCTTTAGGTGGATGGTCAGGCTAGTCCCATTTGGAAGGTGACATTTCAGCAAAGCTGGAAATTAGTGAGAAAAGCAGCAGTGCAGATATTTGTAGAAGAATGTAGCAGGAGGGGAGGTGAGGGGGCTCGATTGTGTCAGATCTCTGCTGCAGTTTGGTTCTCTGGAAGCAGACCCAGAGGTAGAATTTTGTGTGTAGGTCATTTTTTAGAGCCTGCTTTTTGGGATCAAGACCTGTGGAAAGGAGCAGCAGCTTGTAGGACAAAAGTAGAGGTCAAGCTACCCTGTAGGCCCAACTACAGCCACATGGAATGCTGGACCCAGAGTGGCCTTTCGGAGGTGTCCCAGATTGGGGTGAAATGTCTGAGCCTTGATAGCCCCCTGTCATTCAGTCACTGCTGCCCTGAGAAGGCTCAGTGAACTCGGGTGAGGTGACTCTCTTCAGCAGACGTTGACAGCTGTAGACCATCTGCCATCAGCACTTCCAGCAGCAAGGTGATAAGTCATTCTGCAGGGTTTCTGGGCAGCACATCACATGTCCAGCACACTTTAAGGTCACTGAAAGAACTTTGGCTTTTCTTCTGGTGCCAAAGGAACACTGAATGCTTGGGAGTAGAGAAGTGAAAGCCTATCATTACGTGTAAGGACCATTTCAAAAACATTTAGGAAGGGGCAAAGGTAATTGTTGGAAGCTGTGGCAGCCATCCAGGCAAGAGGGGATGGCAGTCTGCAGCAGGGAATGTGCCATGGAAGTGGTGAAAAATGGTCAGGTTTAGATGTGTTTGGAAGCTAGAGCCAATAGAACTTTCCATCATATTGAATATGCATGTGAGGAGAGAGAAGAGTCAAGGCTAACTCTGAAATGTCGGTCAGAGCTACTGGGCATCAAGTTAGAGGCATCAACTTAGAAATGGTGTGTAAAGCCCATTCATGAAGTAAGAGTGAAGTGAAGAATATCTCTGAGATTGACCTACATTAAGAAATTAGACATACCTATATTTGAGATTTTTTTTTCAAGATTCTGGGACCCCAAAAAAGTTACGCGAGTATCTGTTAACTCTGAGGTATGTATTTTCTGCAATGGTGATTTTGAACTGATCCCTAGAGGTCCAAGATCCCTCAAATTTGCCTCAAATGACTCTAGGAGTATTTTAAGTGCAGCAGCAGGAATCTAGGGATAAGATGAGAAAAAAATAGCTCCTCTCCTAAAAATGCTTGAATATCATTACTAAGCTATTTTTAGGTAGGATAAAGTGTCCTTACTTCAAAGACTGTGTTAGGACCATATGGTTCATAACAGCTCCTCTTTCTCTAAGTGTCAATCTGTCAAACATGGTGTTCGATATCCATTGTTGTATTCTGTTTATAGCATTCATTTGCAAAGTTTAACACCCACCCACACACATTGTTCCCCGCCTGTTTCACTTCATTCTGTGTGCTTGTCTACTTTTACCTTTTTGCTGTAGTTTATCCACACTTTTCTATATTGCATTTTATAATAATTTAATTTTAAACATATAATTTGAGTAGACTTCTTCTAACTCATAGTGTTTCTTCCATAGCTAGGAATTAATTTGTCAACTTTAATCCAAGAGAATTATGATGTGAACTTTGTCTTTACCTGACTTCTTTTGAGAAATTAAACTTATTACTGAAAACCTCAATTCAATTCTTACAGTAACTTTCTGAGTTTCTAAAAGGATAAATATACCAATTATCTTCTTCTGTATTAGAATTTTCTGACATATCCTGTTTTATTTGTAACAATATTTACCTACTATCTATATATTTTTTAAATTGGTTTTCATTCTTTATTTATATTCAGTTCTCTTTTTAGATAAAGAATTATGGCATTGGGTGACTTCCTAACAGTTTTGGAGCCAAAGGTGTACACTCATTATTCTGAAAGAAAAAAATGAGGGAAAACAATGGAATGGAATTTCCTCCATCTCCCTTTAAATCTTAGATTCCAGGAGCTTGGTTCTTGCTGTGAATGTCTGGTCTTTATGGACAGAGAATATGCCCAATTTGTTTTAAGCAGTGCCATTGGTATATGAGCAGATACGTGATTTCTGAATATCTTTGGAAATAGAACATGTCTACTGGATAGGATTTTGATGTACTAATTTTAAAAATAATCTGGTGCCTTGAGTTTTAGAAATAAAAGACAAAGTCAATCATTAGTAGATCAGCGAGGCAATAAAATTGATGAGCTTAGGAGAAAATTAATATCCTCTACCTCTTCATTCAACTCCATTTTAGCTTAGTTTTCATGGAAATCTGCATGTGGAGAAAGTAAAAATTGTCAAATATTGCATTTTCCACACCAAATTATATTAATAATAAGAAACAAAATTGAGAATGGAGCAGGAAAATACTTTTACAAAATGTAGGGGGATATGGCAAAGCAAAATTTAAAAACCATAGGTATTTGTGAGTGTTGGTGTGTGGAACTCATTTAAAAAAATCCTTATTATTAAAAATATTACATATGTCCTTCCCCCTCACCCCCCATTGACCCCTTTTGGAACTCATTCTTTATATCTCCTTTATGAAGCCAGGAAATACAATAGTTCACAAATGATTTCCCCATCCAAGTTTTGGCATTTTTGAGTTTCTCATGTGAAATTAAGTCTAGAATATTGACTTGGAAGCTCGATTTCAATATTTGCTCTGCTTCCACACAAGATCCACACAAGATCAAAGACAGTGTTCTGTATAATTATGTGGTCATATTAATGGGACAGTTATGTCTTTGGTGGCTTAGTTAGCATCAATTAATTCTGTAGTCATATTAACTCCTTTTATTAAGAGTTCCTGCACTGAACATTAGTGTTTACTCAGATTGTGAATAGCTCTGTAGTAGTATTTAGATTTCTGGGCACACACCATTGACTGCCTATACTATTGAGCTAACCTTTGGCCTCTATCATGAACAGTGTTTTTATTGGCAAAGTTCAAAGACTGGAGTTTTTTCCCTCTCTTAATTTCTTTGTTTCTAAGGCAATTGTCTTTCCTTGAAATCCAATCAAGTTTTAGTTGGCACTCAACCATCAAGGAATTTAAAAGTATCACTAAAAATGAAAACAGATGTTCAGGTTGATTTTGTTATAAATGGAATAAAAAAATAGGAAAACATTGAATATCTGCTGCTAATCACTAACACTTTACTATACCAAAAATATCATTTGTTTTTCCAAATAAAAGTACAAACTAAGTATGATTTAAACAAGGCATTCAAAATATATTACAGTAGCCAGGCATTATTTAATAATGCCACAAATTCAGGGCATAAGGCTTCTGAAAATTACTTACTTGGTAAATGCTAAGTTTTGTAGTTTAGGTTTTGAAATTTTTTGTATTTTCATTGTCTACAGTCTATACACTTCTTTGTTCTAATTTAAAATTATGAGTCAGCCTCTTATCTTTACTGGCTTTTAAAATTTATTTTTTGTGTCATGATTTAATTTGGGTTTCTTATCACTTTCTGTATTTCCTTTGTTGGAACAGTATAAATCATAATGGCAAAGGTTGTCTCTTTGTCACAAACCATCATAAATAAGCCCAAAGAACAAGCCATAAAAATGTAAGAAATTCTTAGATTAAAAACTATGAGTAATGTTTTTTACCTACCTGATGTTCAGAGGTAAAAGTACAGATTGCAACTAGTAAATTATTAACACTTTTCTACCAAGGATTTCCTCCTTCCTTAGGATCTCTGTGATTAATAGGTAGTCAATTTAAGAATTAGAAGGGTCTCAAACATGATAAACAATTTATAATCATATATTAAAAATAGGAATTTAATAACTATAAGATTATAATTAATGCTATAATTTTTATAAGAAATATAGCAGATAATAAGAATGTGTATCATTCTTGGGGTGAGGTAGTACCCAAAGTACTAAAGCTGTTGGGTACAAGTTTCATATGAAGGTAATTAAAAAAGGCTTAACAGCAATTATAAAAATGCAAAAGAACTAATTTAACCACCTTTTACTTTCCTTAGATTATATTTTTCTTCTCCAGGAAATCATTTCATGGTTGTCATCCATCCATCAATCCATTCATCTATCTAATGTTTATTGAAAACCCATGATATGCCAAACACTGGCTACAGACACACAGTGAATAAGGTAGATGGGCCAGTCCTTCTGGAGACAAAGCTTAGTGCAAATGCTCAGATTCGGGGAAGTCACTGCATAAACACTTTTACTGTGTGTTGGACGAATGATAGGAAGGAACCTAAACTACAACCAGGGATTTAGTGAGCACTTCCTGGAGAAGAAACCTGTAACTAGGCAAAAGAGATAAAGAGAGGAGAGAGAGGACATATTCTGGGCAGAAGGGACAACTTCTAAGACACTTTAGAGACAGCCAAGAGTGACATTTTTTAAACTACTCACATAGCTTGCTAAAATAATAACTCCATTATGGAATACTCACTGCTCTCAGCACTATTTTTAGATATATATTGTAGCTCTGAATCCTGTTGGCTATCCTAGAGGTGTTAGTGTAACTTACATATGAAGTAACTGAGTAAGGGTAAGTGATTTCACAAGTTTATGTATGTGGTATGTAGGGTGAGATGGGACCCTCAGTCTCTATGGTACCAAAATTGTGCTCTTTTCAGGGTTCTGCCTTGTGTCCATTTTCCACTCTGAGCCCTGCAAAAAATCCTAAATGTTATGGTTGTTCTAGCTAATTTGGAACAATCCAATTTAGTGAATATTGTCTTTTTTTTTTTTTTCTCCTGAGCACAAACTTGTGTAAATGGAATACTGTCGAGATGAACCTGCATGAACTCCTTTTCACAATATATCATGGAGAATATGATTTTATGGATGTATGTATATATCCAGCAAATAC